AATAATAATAAAATGCTAGAAAGATGAGTTATAGCGAACTTCAACAATCAAACAGCATCATACATATAAGTCCAGATAGTCTTGACCTCGAACCAACAGCAACATTGGACTACGAGATTCCCCAAATAAGAACACACCAAGAGTTCATGATTGACAATGCTGAAATACTCTCATCATCATCATCAACGAAGAACCAGAGTTTATATCCTATCTRGCGCTCGRCGCCYAGACTACATATGGCAGATCTTATCTAGCCTATTACTACAYTGTCGTAGGTGACATCCACTGCTCTCTGAAGTGTGCGCAGACAGCGGCCAATGCACCAGGTAAGTCTCGCGCTACACTCASTACCTCRTTCCCCATTCACAGATGCCATGTGCATCTCGCCTCTCCTTCTCTCTCTCTCTCTTACCTCTTCTCTTCGATCTCCCCCTTTCTTCTTCTCTTGATCTCTCCTTCTCCTCTCTTCTTCGATTCCTCTTCCTCCTCTTTCTCTTCCGAAGGTAGCGCCTTGTTTCCTGGGTCAACGAGGACGAAGTTGAAGCCATGGTGCCACAGGTAAGCCTTTTCTGGCCTCCCCCCACCATTCTCCTTCTCGTTCTTCTTCTTCTTCTTCTTCTTCTTCTTCTTCTTCTTCTTCTTCTTCTTCTTCTTCTTCTTCTTATTCTTCTTCCCCTTCTCCTCTTCCTCCTTCTTCTTCTCTCTCCAAGTGATAAGGTCCAATGGACTCTCCACAGCATCCCAACGGCAAACCGCCGAGATCACCGCAACCCAGACGCTTCATTGGACCATTCAATCGGTAGGAGCGACGGCGGTCCGTGCAAAGGGCAGGGACGTCACCAGCGCGAGCTGATGACTTGCGCTCACTTGGCATTCCTCACACAAGATCGATAATTACAACAATCAACCCCGTCGCGGCAAACCCCTTTCCCTTCTCCCTCTTCTTCTTCTTCTTCTTCTTCTTCTTCTTCTTCTTCTTACTCTATTCCTATACTACTTCTCGACGCGCGTGGCCATCTTCTTCCCGTTTCTCCCCCCCCGTGCGCTAGCTCTCTCTCTTCGCCTCCCGGTCTCCTTTGCTGCATCTTGCTCCTTCCTCCTCACATCGCCCCCTTTCTTACGATCGCGTTGTAACTACTTCCATTGTAGTGGTTCGGTTGTAGCTCCCACTCACGCCCGTTTTCACCTTCCTATCCTTCTCCCCTTTCCCCTCACGTCTTCTTCACTACCCTTCACTCGCGGTTCCCTTCGTTGTTAGCGTGGCCGCACTCCGACTCCCGCTCGCACCTGGCCGTTCACCACTTTGCTTGCCCGTACACTCTACCCTTGCTCTCTTCTCACGAGCACGCCTGGCCAAGCCACGTTCGAAGTTCGCTATCGTGGCAGATTATCGAGGATTCTACTGGGAACGAATCTGCCCGAAAATCAGGGCAGATGCAACAAGGTAAGTCTTATAGGAGAGCTCACGTAAAAAGAAAGAATTTAATAATAATAATAATAATAATAATAATAATAATAATAATAATAATAATAATAATAATAATAATAACTCAACAAGAAATAAAAGAAAATAGGAAATCCAAAAGAAAGAAAATAACAAAATCTAACAAGAATCTAATTGCTATCTACTGTAGACTGCCAAGTGTTGTGCCCCCGTTTCCAAACGGGGCTAACTGTAATCTACTGACTCTTCCTAACTCGGATCTCTAGGTCGCGGGTTCGAGCTCCGACCAACTGAATGCAGGGTAAAATGTAACTAAGCTCCTTGCCAAAAGGAGCTAGCTCAGGGTCGGGTGGATTCGATCCCTGAGTCTGTCGCCTGATAGTCTGACCCCAAACCTACTGAGCTGGCTCCCACTTCAAAAAGTAAAGGAACAACTCTAGTATCTATAGAGCTCAGGCTCAGCCCAACTAGCGGCATGAGCCTATTTCGAAGTTTGTGTGTGTGTAAGATTGCCGGTCCGCACGCCTATCTGAGTGCCTTGTCAGCCAGAGCGTGTGTGTGTGTCCCGCAAGGGCACCTAGTTATCCGAGAGGCCCGAAGGGCGGGTACAAACCGTAGCCGCGTCATTTGAGGGTCGCGGTGGGAAAGTCACAAGGTAGCGGGGTAAACCCGCACACTTAGAACAATGGGAAAACACTCAAGTAGCAGGTAGTCCGGTACCACACCGAGTAGACCTGCCGGGTACTCGAGGCCGATCAGAAGAAGACAAAGTAGGCATTTACAGAGGCCCAGTACCGTCAGTTAGGCGGGTACCGGTTCAAGTAGTCTCAGTCTAGACCCTGTGCGGACGGTATCCGAACTTGCAATGGTGTCTCCCTCCGTAGAGGGACGAAGGTACCGGTCGCTAGGGTAGTCCTGCGGTCAAGAAGTCACCTCCCAAGGGGCGACTCCCTTTCTACCTACGGGAGGTTGAGTTAGAGCCTCAACCCCGCTTACGGTGCACTAGTAGAGATAAAGGTACCGCTCGTGCAAATGTCAATAATCGGGGCGCTACCTCAACCCGGATGACTATACACTAATAATTGCTCCGGTCGTACGACCGGGGCGCATATTAGTTTATTCTGACTAATGTATTGACGATTTAAGTCTCAGCGTACATCGTAGATCTACTCGCCATAACATCAACCCTCTCGACCCCTCAACCCCTTCAGTCGAAGGGTATTACTGCAGATCCTAACCTTCACAGCGTGCGTCATAACAACGGGCGCACGGAATTCGTTTTGCCCCGTCCTCAATGGCCGCGGAATTCGTTTTGAGTGTCATGCTAAAGCGTGCATACCCTTTCTATTCCGGACTGGCTCCGTCATGGTTGCCGATGCCGTCACCGTGTCTAATGCAAAAACATGGCAAAATACCCTTGTAAGGGTATTTTGTCCGACACCGTTTTCACCATTGGTTCTTTGAATGAAGGGCAAATGGGTATGAAACGACCCAAATCCTTCTGTTTAGGGATCACATAGGCAGCGCCAAAGGCTCTATTAACATTGAAGCTGACCGTTTTGTAAATCCCCCGACGCAGGGTATCCTCACTAATTTCTCCCAACACCCGTTCCTTATGGAGATTGACGACACGATACCCTTGATTACAGATAAAAGTACACATCATTGTCTCCTAGTATGTAGTTGGGCACAGTACAACTGACTGCAGGAAGGAGGTGATCTATGATACCATACTCTAGATTACAGATAAAAATACACATCATTGGCTTATAGTATGTGGGTGGGCACAATACAATGGACTCCCTGGAGTTCCTATCTACAAGAGAGATGACCAAATCCCTCAGTCGCTTCTTCAGAGTTTGAACTTCAGCCAAAGACAAGTTTGACGAATGAACAGTCCCAGAGATCAGGCACGCAGACAAAATTAATTACATAACAGTTAGGATAGATCCTCCTAAGTTTTTCTAATTTAGAAAACCTCAGATCAGTTCCTCATGAAGGATTCCCAGCCTATCAGTCACCTCAACGTTAGGTATGTTATTCGAATTCGACAACAGCGGATGCAAGTCTGCTATCTCACTAAGTGGAAACTGGACATGTCCGTTCACTCGTGAGAAATTCATACTTGCACACTTACAGGTAAGCAGACTATGAGTCAATGATCATTTATGGTTATGCAAAAGGTCAGCTGTTGTAGGGTTCTTCGTTCGTACGATCTGAATTTTCCTGCGCGCGCGAAGTACAAAACATGTCGGGAGATGATATCTTATCAGCAAATCATTGACAACTTTCCTTACCTCTGAAACCATGATCCGGTCATCAAACTTAATTGTAAAGATGAGGTCAGCAACCAAACTTAATTGAAAACGATCTCGAAGACAATGAGATAGCAGCCTATGTAGGTACTCCTTTGTCGACTTATTGGAGAAATTTTTCACAACTTGATATATACGTAACAACACTTTCATGCTCCATTGGTACAGATCCTTCAACTTTCGGGGATTACGTAAAATTCCAATTAACACCTTTTTCATATATTTACATTTCGATTTTCATTAGTTAACGTGCACAATCTCAAACAGTCCCCCAGACTCTTACTGTCTTTTAAGGCAAAAACCTTAGACTAATATCTTATTTTACTTTCACCGAATGATTTCTGGATCTCCTTCCAATTTAGGGTCCAATTAGTACCTTCATTTAACCGTATGACTCGTGGTTGGTTCCCGTTGTCAAGGTCACCCTCAAAAAATGCATGAAGATCTAAGACACCCGATTCATTATTATAACAAAAGAAACGGATTGGCCTAACTACTCTCCTCTATTGGGAGTCCACACCTCCTTTCTTCCGAGTCCTCTCGATCTTCCCCAATTCCTTTTTTTGCCCTTCTTCGTTGACTTCACCGCAACTGTATTAAAAAAAGGCGACCATCGATTAATGTATAAATCCTCCAACTTACTCAGATCCTTACCTTCAAAAATGTCGACAGGGATGAGCAAGTAATTCCGACAACCAAAGGTTGTAATCCATCGATGGAAATGCAATAATATCATCGTCATCTAACGATACAAGTAGGTGTGATCTTCCCAATATAGCACGATTTCAGTATGGAGAGATAGCTACATATACAACGTTCTCCAAATTCAAAACTCAATCCCATGTGTATCATACAATTGTAGCCACGTGTCCAAATACCTGTTTAACCAGCGAACCTGCTTGCACAATGCTAGTAATATTACTACAAACCGTAGTATTACTTCCAACTTACTGTCCGTGCAACCTTGGGAACAACGAACGCTCGTAATGTATCTGCATACTTCCCACCAGTGTGTCGGAGCTATGTTGTATCAACCTTCCGTTTCTGCAGATACATCAGCTTCAGCATCCACCTGGTCAATAAGTTGAGCTACTTCCACCTCAGCATCACCCTCACGCCCGAAGTGTTGCTTAGCCCTTAGCTCGGCTAAGTCAAAGATCGCATCCAACTTCCCTTCATAGTGCAACCCTTCTTCACGACACATACGTTGCAATTCATCCACGTTACAGTCCTTAATTTTCCTGATGATAGCATCCTGAAATCTCAGTCTATTACTGGCCGATGTCAATTTGTCGCTTGGGGTGACTTTTTCGTGTTAGACTTCCCCGCCTTAGACAGAGATGTCTTCACCAGTGTCCTGTTCCTGGTCGGGTTGAGTGTGCGTATGACCTTCTCCTTCATCTTCGACCTTGTTACCCTTGTGTTGGAAACTCCCAGCTTCAGTCCCGGTCGACGAGGTGTCCTTTTAGCCGGTTGTTCTATAGGCGGGCTATCATCCGTCTTCAAGCCGTCCTCCCTCTTCCTCTTCTCCGATAGGCATAACCTTTGTGTTTTCTCACTCAGTTCATGCGCTACGCTTGTTTCGCTCTCTTCAGTATTGTAATCGGACTCCGCTTCATCTTCCGAGATGAACTCAACTTTCTTCTTCCCCTTAGCATCCTTAACCCCGCCTGTAAGCGTCGGTAATGACGACATCTTCCACTGATGTAACCAATCATCTTTAATTTCACTCATCATCACCAGTGCGTGTAGTGTTACAGTGACATATTTTTTCATTTCGTCTCTCAATAGAGCATCTTGCTTCGCCTTCTCCTCTTTCTTCTTCTTCTTCGCTTCATGCCTAGCCGTTTCTGCTGCTCTCTGTAACTCTCCCTCTTCCTCCCTTCGTCTTGCTTTCTCCTTCAGCTGCTCCTTCTCCCATTTCTTACAGGTTTTTTCCTCCTTCTTCGCTTTAACTTCGTCAAAATGTTCCTTAATCGAGGCCACACCCTTCGACAATTCCACGATCTTATCCCGCAGCTCTGATTCCTTCTGCAGGGGCGAGTATCTCCTGGGCTCGTGCCTCATTGGCGAGCGAGATCTTCTTGAGTCGGTAGGCGTCGACGAACGACTTGCAAGGCCATCTCGGTGCGGGCATTGGTTCCCATAGTGCCCTTGCTCGTTGCCGTTAAAACATGTCACATGTCTGTACGCTCTTCGCCCCTGACTCCCATGATCATCCTCTTGTCTTCGTTTGTAACTGCCTCGGTCTTCATCGTATCAATCAACGCTCGACATCTTGAAATCGTAGTTAGTCCTCAGACAAAAGCACGCTCACTCAAACCCGGTAATCTTCCCCGGGCAAGTTCACGCGTGCAATAGAAGAGTTAAAATGTAGAGATATGGTGTCAACTCAAGGTGTAAGAACACGCAAGGTAGTACACACATAGTCACAAACTGACTCGTAGACATAGTAAAAGTAACCGATGGTTCCACTAAGCCGACCGTCAAACCCAAGAACCACCGCATACCACGTTTCACCCTGCAACGATAATCCACCGTCGTCACGGTCGGAGTCGATTGTTGGGACCAAGAGGTTATACTAATCTGCACCTATGTATATATAGTGAACGATATGCAAAAGACTTTGTGGTCCAAATTCCTCAGGGAGGAGGGTGGACACGACCAAACACTTTTCTTCAAACTTCGACTGCACACTTCCATTGAATCAGACTAAATTTGAGGCCTCAGACCATGCCTAGTACCCGCTTCGATGTAACAGGCTAAGCTAAAGCGTGAAAAATATCATGTCAGGCCCATAGGTACATGGATCGAAAACCTGATCCAACTGGCCCTCCGCTTGGTATAAACCGACACGAAAAGGCCTAACCAGTTAAGAACAGCAAAGGTACACGGTTCAAGGTCCTGTGGCCGCCAAACCTAAATAATCACCACTCAATAATATCTGATTCAGTGGGAACAAAATCAATATAAAACAAAGGACGCAACAATCAAGCTACATAGGTGAACTAAAAAAACACTTCAGGTCCGTAAGAAAAGGCTAACAAGTTCACTAGTATTTACAGAGTTATCAAAATTTTGACCACCCAATTCCTTAAACAAAAGAAAACAGGGGAAGGGGGAGAGAGGAGAGAGATAAAGCTCAAAATTTCAAGCATTTTCAAAACTTTTAAGTTTTTATAATGTTTTGTGATCATATACAATATAAAAAAATCTTAATATAATTAAGTGTCGACAATGTTAAAAATTATCAGCTCCCTTTTCCCTTAAAGAAAACAGAACATAGAGAGGCGGGGATATTCAAAATTATCTTCATCTTTAGCTCTTCAAAGTTCGAAGTTTGTAAATTTTTCAGCATCAATATGCATTCGCGCACCTGGAAGAGTGTACTTTATATTTTCAACATATTAACCACTTTATCGAATACTCAACATTAACACTCATTCACACACCCACAGAAGCGTATATTCAATATTTTCAATGTATTCTGCAATTCAAAGTTTTCAGGATTTCCGATATGCATTCGTATACAGTGGCAGACATTAAGAATATTCGGCATCTTCACCACTTTGAAAAATTTTGAATGCTCAATTATTCAAAGTAGGGGTATTTAATATTTTCAATAACCTTAAAATTGTTAAGACCAGGGTTACCAGCCCGTACGTACGGAGGCCCCCGGGCGAACCTCCGTACGTTCGGGCGTTCGGGGTCCTATTAGGGGGCCGAACCTCAAAAAATATTTCGGCACCTAAAAATATTTGTTTTTTATAAGTTCTTTAGGATGTAAGGTACTTGCCTAGACATTTTGAATTCATTTTGCTTATTAAAACAAAAATTAAGAATCTTCAAAGATGGAGGTGTCAAAACTTTCTCGCCCACTCACAATTGTTTTTTTTTTTTACTTTTTACTTTTTGTTTTCATTCTTTTTCGGGGTCTAAATAATTTTATTATTTTTTGAAACTTTTTTCATTAGTTTTTAATCATTTGAAGTACACATAGATAAATTTGCAGGGCATTTGGATGTTCCAAAAAAAAAAATGAAAAATCGTCAAAGATGGCAGTGTCGAAAATGGGCTTGCGCACTCACTAATTTTTATTCTTTAATTTCTTCTTTATTTTTTCTTATTTTTATTTCACCTATTTTATTTTTATTTCAAATTTAGTAACGAATTTGGATGTAATGCTCGGGCAAATGTTGTTTATATTATGGTTTTGCATAACAGACGTTTTTTTCAGATTTTTTCGATTTTTTTTTTTTTTTTTTTTTTTTTTTTTTCGCGTTCGCTGAACGACCGAACACATCCTCAAGGGGTTACGTACGTTCAGGCGTTCGGCCTGTCCCGAATGCCGGCCACCCTGGTTAAGACTCTATTTCATAAATTTTAAAACATTTTTTTTTCACTTCAAAATTATTTTTAGCAAAAAGTTAGGAAGTCACTGATGACTTGTGACATGCTCGTGGTTTTTAATATTTTCCTGTGTTGCACGAGGTACACGTACGTGGCCCCCGGGCACATGCGTACATGTATGCACGTGCGCGCGTACGTCAAAAAGGATCTCGCGTACGTGGTCGTAGGGGGCCTTTTCCGGGTCGTTTTTCTGGCTGTCGGTCTGTCTGACTGGCTGTACAACTGTATGCCGTTCTGTTAGTCTCTTATTCAGTCAAGCTGTGTCGTGGTTAATTTGTCTGTCTGTCTGTTTGTTTGTCTGTTTGTCTGTCACTCTGGGTGGTCTGTGTGTATGTGTGTGTGTCTGTCAGTCGGTCTATCTGCAAGGGTCTGCCACGTGTACCTGTCTGTCTGTCTGTCTATCTGTCTGTCATCCTGTCCATGTGCCACGTCATTCTGTCACCCTGTCCATATGCATATCTGTTGGTCTGTCCATCTGTGTGTAGGCAGATGTCTGTCGGTCTGTTTGTCAGTTTTTAGGTAGCTGTCTGTCAATCTATTTGTCTGGTTGTTTATCCTTTTGTCCGTATATCTGTTTGTCTGTCATGTCTGACTGTCTGTCTGTCACTCACTCTGTTAAGAAGTACGTATGTGACATTCAAATTATCTGACAGAGACTTTGTGTGTGTGTGTGTGTGTATGTGTATGTGTATGTGTAATACTGTGTATGTGTGTGTGTAAAAGTGGGAAGACTCTGAAATTGTGAATACATGTGTGTTCCCCCCCGGAGGGAAGGGCCTGGCACAACAGATATATATATTTTTGGGAAAAAAAAAAAAAAAATGCATACGCGTAAGCAGGTTTTTTGTCACGTACATGTACGCAAGAATACGTACGCGTATGCACTGCGTACGCCTACAACGTGCAACACAAATATTTTTTTTTAATGTCAATGATTGATATGAATCTTATGCCTATATCCATTATTAACTCATATTTCTATCATTATCAATGTCGGTTTCAATTATCAATCATACCGCTTTATCAACCCACACGTTATACAATTTATTTGAAGTTTTTGCGGATTGATTTTTTTAAAAAAATCTCGTGCATTTTTCTAATGAGTCGCAAAGGACAATGTTTTATGAAAAAATTATTCATCTTCTTGAACTTTTGTCTTTTAATTTTGATATTTACAAATGATCAGATACAACTATTATCTTTTTTAGTGTCATTTGATAACATATTTTATTACGAGTGCGGAAAGAAGGAATAATTAGTTTTATTGATTTGATATTTTATGTATTTTTAGAGTCTACTCTAGATAAAAGACCCATAACACATTTCAATTGTAGCTTAGTAGACTACAACTTCATATGAATTAGTTTAAAATCGGACTGTAATTAAATTTAACAAAAATCAAACTTATACAGTTTACAATATAATTGATATGTTTAGTTTAACCTAAAATTCTTTATATTCCAGTAAAACATTAATATAATAATTTAGTTGTTGCTTTGTACATATCAGATTATTTATCCGCGCAACTTAAACAATTGTATTTATGAACAATGTCTATCAGAATTATAACTTTCGAGAGTTCAATTAAAACATTATAAACCTTATCGGCATAATATGCATTCAATACATACTTTAGTATGATGGTTAAGGAAACAATAACTCTTTAGACATTAATTCATCGAGTTAAAGTCATATAAATTCAATCTCTTGTTCACTTAAATTGAATACGTTAATCATATTTCAACAAAATCATTTGATTATCATATTGATGATGAATTTTGACATTATTGAACGTCTATGTTATATTACTCGCAGGTATTTGGATATTTTTTTTTAAATAGCAAGAATATTCTTATTATGTTAATGTCAATTGAGTTAATGTTACTTTATGTCAATTTGAATGAAGTTGCCTCTACCAAGAAAATTCGAGAACGCCTTCAACTTTTTTGTCCGTGTGTCGGTACGAAGTGTGGCGTTAGAGTTTCCATAGTACATGAAAATGAAAGGGAAACAGTCAATAGTCTTGCCAAACTGATGGAGAGTCATGTGCTTGGAAATCTTGCAAGCACGGTTCGAATATCTATGTTATATTACCCACATATCTAAGCTATAGGTAATTTTTTTAGCTACTTACATTGCTATTTGATTTTTTTTTTTTAATTGACAATTTTTGTTATATTCCACATAATATGGTCATTATAGTTTTACGTTTGGTTAAAATAATCATAATCGATTAATGTTACGTCTTCATGTAGGAGATCAATGAACTCGCCAATAAATGACGTACCAATTCAATTGTTGTTTTTATCTTAAATACTTGTACTCCAACGAATGAACAAATATCATTGACAATTATACTTTTATAATTACATGTAAACGATCTTCGTATCGGAATCAATAACTCGGCAGGCATATGCCTCTAAAGATTATGATAACTCATTAGGAAAGAAAATTTAAATTTGTAGTAACTTATCCCATAATACAAGACTACAAAAAATACGAGTAACACATACAAGTAAAACGACGGATTTATTTTTTTCTGATTGTATGATGCATTGTTCTATGTAATGATGTTTATTTTTTAACTTTTCCGTGGTGTAACAAATATGGCTCCCTTGTTTGGTGAAAACGACAGAGCTAAGATGCTCCATAATAATGTGAACTCGATGTTTGTCTATGCATTTTTTAAATCTTCACGAAGCATTTCATGCCTTCATATACATTTTTATCATCCCTTATACGAGAGGGATAAATGA